TAGTATAATGTTCAACAACAACAAAAAAGTCTAGGTAGCAAAGTTGTAGCAATCAGGGATTTGGGGTGTGGAGGGAGGGGAAATGAATAGGTGGAACACAGGACATATTTAGGGCAGTAAAACTATTCTGTATGATACTGAATATGACATGCATTTGTTTAATCAAAACCCAAAAAACTAACTGTATGTACAGCACAGTGTGAGCTCTCGTGGCAACTATGGGTGTTATGCCTGCCAGTGGATTGATAACTGGTTCATCAGTTGTGACAGGTGGCACCGGGAGGCAGCAGGAAACTGTATGCAGGGGAAGGTTGTAGGTGGAGAACTCGACTTTCTGTCCAATTTTGCTGTAGACCTAGGACTGTTCGAGAAAATCTTTTTTTTTTTTTTTTTAAAGAGAAAGACTAGTTAAACACGCAAAAGCTTATTTTATCCAGAATGCATCTAATAACACTAAAAATCCTAATCACATATAACAATGGACTCCTGGTGTGGCACTATAGCATCAGCCCTGGACTGAACTACAAGGTCAACAGTTCAAACTCACCAGCTGCTCCTCAGAAACCCTAGACAGGGTCACTATGAGTCAGAACCAACTCGATAGCATTAAACAACAGCAACAGTGTGGTGCTGTAGCATCAGCTCTGTGCAAACCCATTAGTTGCTCCTCGGAAACCCTTTATGGAACCGACTCGACGGCACTTAACAACAACATATTGTAACAGTAGCTTGGGGAATTACAGTCAGCATTGCAACTTAGAATGTCGGGGAACATATGACACTCTCCCTCCTGCCCCCCATGCATTTCTGACAGTGAGATGAGAGATTCTCCTGTTCTCAGTGGCCTCCGTTGGGATTGGGAGGATTCCAGTTAGTAGTAGCTGGGGTGGGGGTTGGCATGAGGCGTTATAAGAGATGAAGCCCTTCTGTTGGCGTACTCAACACCCCTTTGTTTGAGGTGGTCTCCTTGCCCCTATGAGGTAAGTAGTGTTTATGTTTTGTTTTTGAGATGGGGAAACTGAGGCTCTAGAAAGTTTTTAGGAACTTGCCTAAGGTCTATCCAGAATTAACAAGAGGCAGAACCAAGATTTGTAGCCAGCTGTGACCTGCCTGCATACCTGTGCACTTTCTCTGGACCATGCGGCCTTGAATGGAGGACTTCGGACAGTCTTGAGCTGGTTACATAGTGGAAATAGAGCCTCGCCGCTTTCTCCCGCCTCGCTGTCCAGGGAGCGGTCACGTGCTTCTTGTAGAGTTGTCTAAGGTAGCATAGTGGTAGGGACTGCTTCCAGTCCTGATTCAGCGACTTCCTACCTCACTGTACGTGTGACCTTGGGCACATCATTTAACCTCTCCAAGTCTGTTTCTCCCTCTGTATAATGGCACTAGTATCTACTTGGCATACGTGTGCAGTTTTGATGTCACTGTAAATAAGCACTTAGCAGAGTTCCTGGCACATGACAGATGCTCACTGGGTGGGTTTTTTTTTTGTTTTTTTTTCTGTGACTGACCAAAATAACACAAAAGATACAGATGAAAAACAGGTGCCTTCTTCCCTCCCCCTGCTCCCTCTTGTACCCTATAGTGAAAGCACAGTAGGGAATAATGATGGATCTGCTGGCCAACCAAGGTCTGAAATGAAATTCACGTACATCCCAACAGATGGCCAAATCTGGACACTCTAGGGACCTTTGGGGAGGGTTCTGGGCCCAGGGAGATGGAACTGAGTCTGGGTTGCTGCTTAGAAGGCTAGCTGAAGTCAGAGGCATGACAGTGCCAGGGGACAGACTGACCATCTCTGGCCAATGGCAGCCCCACAAACAGTTCCTCCCATGGAAGTAGTATGAGGACAAGGGGAGACGCAGCAGATGAAACGGGGGAGGCATACATGGGCATTTGGCTGGGCCAGCAGGCAGCTGCCAAAAGGCATGGAAGTGTAGGGCTGCCGAGGCAGGTTTCTGGAGCAATATTCTCAATAAACCACACACAATTGAATATGCATGGCCTTTGAAGAATGTGTTCTGTTTGCTGCCAGCACAGTTCATTGGAAGAATTCAGAGCTATTTCTAGTCTGTGTCTAGTAAGCTAGTGAGTTCTAATAATACTGATCTGTTTCTAATTCTGTACATTAATTCTAATCATTTTCTATCTGTAAATGACTTTCTTTTCCTGCTCTGCTCTCAGGAAGAAGACAACTTCCTAGAAAAGGTAATGCAGTCCTTTGGTGGGAATGAGTTTCCCTGTGCTTGGTTAACATGTAATTGTAGTCCCTGGAATGTGTCCCTA